ATACAATAAACTTAAAACAATTAACCAGAAGGCGTTTTATGCAAATTGTTGAATATAAACATTCAGGATAACAAAATCCCAAAAATAAACATTAATTATATTATTATACATACACACACACACACACACACACACATGAGATTTTACAATGAACAAATAAAATATAGGAATAAAAATAAACAAGATTCTCATTCCAAGAGTGTCAAAAGTGCAGACATCGTTAATGCTATAGCAAAATATAATTGGAAACAACAACGAAACAATCATTCCGCCAACATAATATGAGCATAGAAACACCAATAACATCAACATAGAAATATTAATAACATTAGTATAGAAACTATGATAACATCAAAATAAAATCATCGATAGCATTAAAACGAAAACACAAACAACATCAACACAACAAATTCATTTCAACATCAAAAATTCTATTGCCCGAAAAACACAACAGCACATATTCATTTGTTCTATGATCCTAAAAAATAAAAAAATGATTTAGAAATTATTTTTCATGTACGAATGCGAGTTGTAAACAATTGTGATTGATGATTTTAAATAAAAATTTCTTCACAGGTATAAATAACTGCAGAAACAATAAAACAACAACATCAGCCACACTACATACAATAAAACGTGAACAAAGATATCGACAATAAACATTGTAAATAAAATTGCCATTAAAACTTGTAACAATATTAAAGCGATACATTAAAGATAGGATACTCGCTATTGATGCGTCGCTTGTGTGTATGTGTGAGTGTGTGTGTGTGTGTGTGTGTGTGTGTGGTTTTGTGTGCTTTAGTGTGTTGTTGTTGTGTGTGTTTGTGTGTGCTGTTAGATGTGTTTATTTGTTGTTGTGTAGGATTGTTGTCGTTCTCTACTTTATTTCCTGTGCAAGTTTACTTGCTGACAGTAAATTTACTTATTTAGTTTTTAATTTGTATTGTTCGGATTAGTCTGAAAAGGAGTAGATAGAATAATTTAAAATAAATTATGTTGAAATAACTTTATCAAACCATATCTTTAATTGTAACAATTAACATGAATGTCATTTCAAAATATTTGTTTGAAAAGAATTTCGCATTTGAATGAAAAGAAGCATAGTAAATAAAAAAAAACAATTTATCTTAGAAAATACCCAAAATGTACACAGGAATAATTTGGAAATGTTTATGAGGAATCGTTTAAATTGCCCAATAAACCGTCTTGAACAGCCGCTTAATTGTCAGTTTTTAGCGAAACGTTGACAAAAGGGGGCACTAAAATCTAATGATATTACCACTGGACAACTCCTTTTCTTCTTCTTTTTTTTGTACTTATATATTTTTGTTTTTTTTTTGAATAAATGAAATAAACGAGAAGTTCAAAATCTATGAGTTATAAAACTGTTTAAAACGTTTTATCATTAAGAAATTTTTGTCAAGTGAGAGGCATTTGTTATTTTTCTGTAGAAACGCCCTAGCAGTATCGAGTTATATCAATTTCTTTTTCAAATTACGTTAAAGCTGGGTCTAAATTATATATGAATGTTAGCTAGACAAACAATACAATATAATATTATTGAGGAGTATTCTATTGAATATACGTATTACAAAATAAATCCAAAAAGGGAATTACATAAATTGAAATTTCAGAGTCTGAAAACCAATTTTTAATTCTCAAAATTACAAATGACCTCCAATTTTTGTCTGCTTCTAAGTAAACATGAATAACATGATAGCCGACCAAGATAAACTTAAATTATGCCGGTATAGCGCATAGTTTTCATATAATAATTGACCTGTCTTATCTATCCAGCTGTCTCAGTCATATTCCAACTCACCCCTATAAACGAAAAACTTATCGAGATAAGTCAGCGTGAAAAAAGGTGAAGTCAGAACTTTCAGCTCATACCAATATCATGAAACGTTATTTATATTAAGATCGTCAAATGATCATGCCGTTATATGCACGAACATAAAATCAAGCCGAAAGTTGTTTGAACTTGACGAAACCAAAATCATAACGACGATTAAAAAACTCAGCTAAGTCAACACCCAAACCAGTAAATGTAATAAAAATTTATTTGTTTAATACGATTTTGTTTAGTTGAAGCATTTTCACTGGACTTAATTTTCCATTTCACTGCATATTGCTGATCTCTGCTGTCTCCATCGCTCGCTCCAATGGTCCTCGCATTTATATGCTGCATTCAAATTCAAATTGCTTCATGTTATTTCATTTCTTTTTTCATTTTTTTTATTATTTATAGGTGTGATGAGTAACTGAGGTAAATTATTTTTTAAATTTTTAATTTTGATTTTCATATTTAACAACAAGTGTTATTTGTTGCCCATGGTTCATTCATTTTAACAGCAATAAAGTTATATATATTGGCCAATGTTCCATTGATAATTTAAAACTTCGATAATATCGGTGTAAACGTTAAAATGAGATTATTTACACATTTTAATCATACATCAAAGTTTTTGAATTTTATATAATGCAATTGTTTAAACTTAAAAACATTTAATTGACACTTATAAATTAGAGTTTTCAAAGCAATGTACTTTAACGCACAATGCGACAATGATTTATAGAACAGTAAGCAAACACCGATGATTATTCGTGCAGACTTCGTGTGAATTCATTTTATCCCAAAAAGAATTTGCTTTCCACTATTTTTCAAATTTGTTGTCTAGATGAAAACAAGTTTTGACAACATTTACACAGAGGCTGCTGCATAAATCTATGCATCTGGTACCTTAATTTTGTTTAACAACGCAATAAACACGCAGAGCAGTTTTAAACACTAATATTCACGCCTCATCTATGTCAATAAGTTCTTCTAGTAATCAGCATTCACTTATCACAATCTCAGATTCCCAAAAATTTCAACAAGCAAATCATCACGTAATCAACGAAACGCAGAGTCACAAACGAAGGCAGAGAGATAAATAAATCTTCTGTACCATTGCTTAGCGAGAAAGCTCATTAAAATTTAACTAACTGAAACAATTCAAACAAGTTTATGGTGCAAGGAATGCTAATTTTCAAAACATGGACTTTAAAACTGTTGAAATTTTTGTTTGGAGGCTCGTATCAAAAATTCTATTGAATGTTTCACTGGATTTCAAAATATACAGGCGCATATAATATTCACTCACAAAATACAATTCACACGCATAATATATGCATCGTAAATTTTTCAAGAAATATAATAGGAAGGTGATAATGACAGCATTAATAAAAATACGTGTGAGAGCAAAAGTAATGTATGACAAGAAATGAACCAACGCGAAACCACTAACAACAGTGGAAACAAAGAGGAGACTGCGTAGGTGCGATAACGTTCGAAATACAAAGTGTCATAATTAGCCAAGCTGCTCTTATTTCTCTTCTTCTTTTCCTTCCTTTCGTCACTGTTTATGAAAGAGAGATTTTGTTTCTGTTTCACTGATAAAAAGACTCATTATGATTTATTACGTAACTTCAAAATTAGGAATGAATGTGAGACAGCAAGTGAGTACATTACACAAACTAACAAACATTTTCCTACTGTTTGTTTAAGAAACAATTTTTATAATGGCACAAAAATCAACAAAAAATTATAGAATTTGCACTCAATAACATTTTGATCACATTTCAGTGCGTGCATCAATTTTCAAAATGTTCTATAAAACTTGTTTAGAAACAAAAAGGAAATAAAAGTTGTTACTAGAGTTATAAATTTTTTTTTTACTCGCGTTGTTCAAATGTTTCTATTACTTTTATTATTCATTTCATTTAAGTTGCAAAATTTGTGTAAAAATATGGTCAATTTAATGTTTTCTGAACATTTCTGCCTACCACCATCTATCCATTATGACTGCCGACCAACTAAAACTCTTTGAGACAAATACATGCATCAACCAAAAAGTAACACAAATAACAAACAACACAAAATAAACATCGACCACACTTACAACAACAACACAAACACACCAAAATATTTCCACAAACCCCAACGGCAAAACAGACCCACAGCACGACAATAGCCACAAGAACCATAACAATTAGTCGGCCATGACAAATGTACTATCATTTAAAACATCATTCACGACAAAGCCGCTCAGTAATCGCTTGTCAACAAATAGTCAACAGTGACTTCAACTGCCTTCCAGACGGACAAATGTTCGGCATAAATTTCTGGCAAAACATCTGCAACAACTTCAAATAAATAGCAACAAATACATCAACATATTTATAATTGCAGCAAAAATTATTCCAAATAGCCGCCATTAGCAAAATTAGGAACTTCAAAACATTACATTGTAAAACACACGTTTACAGTGTGGAACATAACAACATCAGTAGCAGCAGCAACAACAACAACAACAATGACATTAATAATAATAACAGCAACAACAACAGCATTAGCAGCGGCAACAACACAATTATCAGCCAGTCGGACAGGCTTTAAAACCGGCCCGGGAAAGTTGGTCATGGCGGCCCACACCATGATTTGTTCCATACAAATTGTTTAACAATTATTTTCTTCATCTATTTTTAATTTAATTAAATTTCTATATATTTTTTCTTCGATTCTATGATTATTTCACGCATAATAATAAAATTTTAACTTCAAAAACTCTCTTTGAAGTTGTTTTAAATGATTTTATTTATATTGCGTTTAAATTTGTAATTCTGCAGAATAACTTTTAACAGTGAAATGTCTCATAGTTGCACGAACAACTTGACTATAAAAAACACTAGAGTTTAAAATTTCTATTCGCCATTAACTAGTTTAAAAGTCTTTCCATCGTTTCACAAAAACATCAATAATTTCATTGTTTATGATTCATAGGAGAATGTTCTTCTCGCCAGACATCGGCACAAATTATTGTAAAGTTGACTGGATAAGCAAATTTTTTAAATTGTTCAAAATTTTATTCAACATTTAAAAAATGCTCTATCACAAGCAACTTGTGAAGGATTGTGTCAAAATAAATTTGTAAGCCAGATACATTTGAATAAGCATGACTATGCAGATGAAACGTTTGGAGAACAAATCAACAACAGACAACAGGTTTTTAATAGATTAACATTTACAAATGTGGTTGTTGTTGTTTTCTACTGTACATATTTTCAAGTAATTCTAAGGATTCGGATTGTTAAATGTGGTCCGAGATTAAGTGAGATGCTTCTTCCATTTTAAAAATCAAATCATATCCATCTTCGAGAGTTGTTTGAAATTTTTTTACTTTCTTCGGAAAATCGAATAATTCAGTTTGTTGTGATCTTTTGTTATGATACCTTCAAATATTTCGAGTAACCCATTGAAGGGTTGCAGCGCATCACTGGTTTTTTTTTCAAAATTTGTGCCAAGTTTATTTCATCTACACAAGATGAATCAGCGTAAAGACTACCAAGCTCAGATGATCTCTTCTTTAAACTTGATCCATAACCATGTTGGGAACATTGACACGAAATTTATCTTTCACACTTTCAAGTGGTCAGTTGGCTATAAATCTTTATTCCTTCATAAAAGTCTGCATTTCAATTTTGAGATTTCTTTTCAAATTTTGAGATATTTATAGCTGTTTGAAAAATTTATTTAAAATTTTGCGTTAAAATTATTATGTTTTAGGTTATAACCACTGACGTTGGAAGCCTAATTTTTTTAAATATTTAGAATTGAGTAATAACTTTGCGGTTTCAGTTTGGTTATTTTCAATGCAAATTATTGTTTGAAACTGTCATATAAACAAAACAAACTTAATTTCTGTTAAGACTACAAGTATGAAAACTTTCTGTTGGCAGTTAGCAGAATTCCCCGGTGTTCTGGCGGCCAAGTCCAAGCTTGTTAGCAATATCGTCATTATCAGCTGCAGCAATAACAACACAATAGCCACAGCAACACCAACACAAGACAGTCTCATAAATAAGATCATTAGCGATGACAACTGGTTGCACAACATATCATTCTTGATATACGAGGACAATGATCGTTTGCAGCATTACAGTTGACCTGCTTGCTGCCCACCTCCACTCCTCTTTACTTCAACTTTTTACGCAACCCCGCATATTTTGACCTTTAACCTTTCAAATCCTTTACTACTGTCGGAAAACTTTTAAAATAAATGACGTGTTGTTTTTCTTTCATGTGTGTGTCAAAATTGTTGTGCTGCTAACTTTTCTTACAAATTTTGCACTTGACTTTTTGTTTAAAAATAATTCTGTAAAACATTTTCTAGTTGATTTTTTTTCACAATTATGATATAATATAAATTTTAATCTTTCAATCTTGATTGTCATTACATTGCTACTATTATTATTATTATTATTATTATTATTATTATTATTATTATTATTATTATTATTATTATTATTATTATTATTATTATTATTATCGTTATCGCCGTCGTCATTACCATTGCAACTGACGTTATATCTTAATTTCTTGTTTTCTATAATGAACACATTTTGATCATTTTCAATGTTAGAATTGAAATAAAATACAAATGGTTGTACAACAAGTGTATTGAATAAACGTTCACTCATGCAATGTTTTTCTTTCAAATACTTTTGCAAAACTGCTCATAAAACCTATAATTTAACTTTTATTTCAAGAAACACAGTAGAATTGAAATTCACATTCACTAACAAATCAAAACACATAAAGTTCACAAATTGATGAATGTATGGCTAAAAAGTAAAAACAAACAACTTCCTCATCTAACCGCATGCTATAACAGTTCCTGTGTTTTTCAGATTTTGATTTTTTAAAGAATAATAATAATAATAAAAATAATAATAGTAATAATAAAAATAATGAAAATCTCAGGTCTGGTGGTCTCCATCATAACGGGCATCATGCTTGGCATTGTGGTCGGTGCATGTTTGCTGTTTGTCGTCCTGGCTTACAGGAAGAAGTGAGTCGAATGGAATGGGATGCAGTTTAGTTTGGAATGGTGGAATGTTTCCGTGTTTCAATAACATTATTATTTGGTTTTGAATTCTTTACTTTTTTTCTTTCCAGTTCTTCAATTTTTTGGTGTCGTTAGTTCTTTCCACCTTTTTAGGATTTGTGTTATGGTATGAAAAAGTGATTTGGAGAATGAAATAAGAGTTGTGTTTGATTATTTATGCGGAACGTTTTAGACCGCATGTTCATGTGATGAGTGATGTTTATGATTTCTTTTTTGTGATTGCTTGTGTATGATTGCATATGTAAGTTATATAATAATGCCTAGCATTTTGGTGTGTTGTTCCTTCTAGTTCTTTATTTTTAGTTGAACAAATGTTTTTCTTCACATACCTAATAAATTAATAATATATAATTTTAGTTTTCAAGAAACAAAATTGGTTCTTAAAATTTTGAATGTTATTTTAACATGAGATTGAACACGATATCTCTTTAAACACCCCTTCAACTGACAACCTGACAGAAGATCAGGACACATGCAGCGAGCATCACCATCTCATCTGAAAAACTTCAACAACTCAATCGACTGCATGGAAGCATTTGCAACAACTCAACAGTCCCAAAACCAACAACATCAACATTTTTTTTGCAATAGTGGAAGCAAGAAGTTTCAGAACACAATGCAACCTCACAATCGAAGATGTCTGGAATCCGACTACAGACCAAATGAGTCGCTTTGTCCGTACACATCCGTCAGCAACAGTAACAACAATTACGTTGAACAGAATGTTGATAATCTGCCACTAGACATTGGAAATAACAACAATAACAGCAACACAACCTGCGCATTTAGATTGATACACCAACAACATCCACACGACAGCTTCTGCGTCAAGCAATTCAACGACAAATCTAAAAGTACAACGCCACAACAAACTTATGAGTGTTTCCAGCAACAACAACAGCACCACTGTAACAAACCGCCTTTCAACAACAACAACAACAACAACAACATAGACAACGTAACGATGCAAACAGGTGAGCGGATATTGCATCAGTACGGATTCGTTTCTGATCTTCCCGACAAATCTTTCGCAGACCAACCACAGCCCCAGAAATTCCATCTCCACAATCTCTACCAGCACAACACCAGCCAACAAACTGTCCCTAACACTTCCAGCCCTCAACATTTCGATGCCACTCTCCCCACCAAGAACATCCTCCCATTCGATATGGTCGAAAATTGAAGTCGACGAAATATTTTTTCAATCGTTTGGGTTCACTATTTTTTCAGCTTTTCGAAACAATGATATCTTTATGTTATTTTCAAAACTTTGATTTGAAGTTTAATGAAACGTCAGCGTGTCATGTCATAAACTTGCATATTTAAAAATATGTTACGTGTAATATGTATATTAATGTTGTACGTACTTGGAAAATATATTTCATCGTTAATTATTTTTCTTGGAACTTCACTAATTTCATGATTTGAATACTTCCTATTATTTTTTTAGTTCTTTCGTGTCAAAATAATTTAATATATAATACGTTTTTCTGATAATTAATGTAATTAATTGAATATAGACCATTCATCTTTTCACTTAATTTTGAAATTTTTGTCGAAGTCGTTGTCAGTCAGTTTTGTTTATGAAATCATTTCATTTTATTGCTATTTTTTCAATAATTTTTTGCAAACTTCAAAAATATCTGTTTTTAATTTTTGGAAAATGTATTTCTTTTTGTTTAAACATCATTCGAACGATTGTTTTCTCATGTTTGTGATTGCGTTTAAAAGACAACTTACCTTCTCACATCAACAACTTGTTGAAGATTTTTTTTTAAATCTTTCATTGATCCATCTACTAACTACTGTACATTAAATTTTTCATTATTTGCTAATAAATTTTTTCAACTATGTCATTGTTTTATTCAAAAAAAATTCATAAAAAATATTTATCTAATTTTGACGACAAGGTCTTCAATGTTGGGGTAATTTTTTTCAAATTAATTACGCATTTGTTGATTTTGTTGTTTGGAGTAAAAAGTTTTGATTTTTAAAATTTTTAACTAGAAATATATTAAAAGCAGATGTTTCAGATAAGCGATGTTCTCACGACTGCTTCAAAAAAAACTTTTGTGAGTAGAATTTGTTGTGGAAAATTTGAATTAAAAATAAAAATCTATTACGAAAACGTGTAGCTACGTAAAATAATTTTTCCATCTTTCAAACTAAGTTATTGGATTTACCATAAAAATTTTAAAAAATTGACAAAAATAAAAAGTATCGTTATGTTTTTAAAAAAGATTCAAAGTGTAGTAAAAAAGCAGGGTATTTCTGTCATAGAAACAACTAAGCAAGTGTAAAAAATCGTTCTAACACTGAACAACCCAGGACTGATTTTTAAACCACGGCAGGACGTCATTATTCTGGTTAAGAAACAAATTTGCAGTGTCACGATTAAGCTTTTTTAAAGTTTAAATCTGTAAAAAATTTTGTATAGAATGGATTAAAACGGAATTTTCAGATAACATGGATGTCGAAACTTAATTAATAATTATTTTCCCATCCAACTGAATTATGGAAAAATTGTCAATGGAAAGGTACGCAGCACTGTTTGTGTTTGTAATATGAACAAGTTTTCGAGAATAACGTTTTAACGTTTGGTTCTTCTTACGAGTGAATTTTCATTAAAAAGTCAGTAAGTGTTGATTACAAGGTGGATGATGATTGTTAATATAACAACGTAAAAATGTACCATGTCAACCATTATTACTATTTAATATAAATACTATTAATTTTATTCTGTTTTTTTATTTTTTCTCTTTCTCCTCTTTTTTTATTGTTTTTTGAGTAATAACAAAATTTACTTTACACGGTTTTTTTGTGTGAAAGAAAAATCAAAATCATTAGAACATTTTATTCCGTCCGCCAGTGTAACAACGAGATATTTGAAAACAATTTGATAGACATATAGTTTATACAACGATCAAACGTCGCCCGCAACCACAAGCCCTCAAACAAATAAGCAGAACATAAAACACACACAGACACATATTTCGTAACAACACTCACACACGCCTCATGTTATCTTCTCAGAAATTCCATCTATTAAGTCGTTTCTAATAAAATTGTTATTAACATCATCAACAGCTTTTTTATTGTCAAGTTTGTTATCTTTTGTTGATTTATAATCTTTTCCTTCTGACGTAACCAAAATGGCGTCAATCACATGGAGTTCCGGGATACAGGTGATGGACCGGTCATCGGTGTTTGTGATGATGCTCTCCTGTATTCTTGTATTCTGATCAACCGGAAATGAATGAGCGGATGTGTTTATTTGCTGTCTTTGGTCAACTTCCGTTTGAAATAAAGTGCACACGTGATGCGCCATGGGATTGTTTGTTTGTTTATTTCGCTGGATTTTTATGTTTACATTGGCCATGTTGTTGTTGTTGTGGTTGTTTATGTTGTTGCTTTGAATACCGCATATAAATGCATTGTTAGCGTTGTTGTTGTTGCTGCTGCTGCTGCTACTACTAGTGAAGGCAGTATTGAAATTTTTCAATGCGATAAGGTCGTGTTTATTGATGTACATACTGCTGTCTTTATTAGACATTGCAATGTTTTTAGAACTTTTATCAGAATTGTCATTAGTATTAAAATTGTTGACATCATCAATGTTGGCTCTGATGCAAGAGCTAAATTTATCACCCGGACACGGCTTGGTTTTGGTACACTGACTTATCTTCGTGATTTCAAGTCCATCGCGATAGAGCGCCACAACTTTGCTGGCCACGTCGTTGCCACTTTGGTAGGCGTAACCACTTAGCTGCTTGTTAGTGCTGTTTTTTATGTTGCTGTTCAAGTTGTTGTCCTCTTCGTTTCCGGTTTGATGATCAGCCACGCTAACATTATTTAAATTGTACGTCTCAGGCCAGAAAGTAAAAGCGGAACTATTTCTCCTGAAAATTACGTCATCGTCGTCACGTGACTGACATTTACGTATCTTTTTCCGGTGAAAGTCTGAAGAGTATTTGCTGGAGTTGCTGGAGTTTTGTAGTAGGAGATTGTTTCGACTTTCTTTCAGCCTGCGTAATTAGTTGATTTGATTAGTTCAATTTGTGGATGTTTGTTTGGAATGTGATTGGTTAGTTGAAAAAAGTAATTTATTTGATTGTAAATGTGTGATCGGTAAAATAATATTACTAGATGGCTGGGGTTAATGTGGTTTGATGAATTTTCTAAAGTTTGTTATTGATTTGTTTCTAATTGGATCATATCAATGGCTTTCACAGCATGTTTCAAAATATTGACCCAAAAAATTTATTTATTTTCGCCAAAATATTATCGTAAATTAACTTAGATTTATTCATTCATTTCATCTTTTTTTTCATAGTCATCGTCAACACCATAATCTTTTTTTTTACATCATTAACAACATCATCATCATCGTTCATCATCGTCATCATCATCATCGTCATCATCATCATCGTCATCATCATCGTCACACGCAACAATAAACATCTGCCCTCATAGAAGATGGAGTGATCTCCATCCAATAAGATGCGCCAATCACGGATGAGCACAATTGTTACGTCATAACTGAGGACGAGTTTTGTTATTGCTACGTGCGGTAGATGAGGAACATGATGATGACGTTGACCAGGATGACAAAAAGATGATAAGTTGAAAACGACAATGATGATGATGATCATCGTGATGACCGTGATGATAAAAGTGAGTTGGTTTACATGTTGGTAATGGTGATAACAATAAAAAACTGGAGCTATGATAATGATGATGAGGACAATGACGACGATTACAATGATGATGAATATGCGGAGAAAAAACAACGCAGACAATTAGAATGATGGCATAGCAAAGACAATGGCAACATGATAAGAAAACATGATAATGAATAAGATGGCCGGTAAATGATGATGTTGGTGATGATAAGGACGATGATGATAGCGACAGCCGTGATGATGAACACTCTATATTTGCTTGTTTTTTTGCATTGACGATCTAAAAATTTTTGACACTCTCCTATTTATCATGGTCAATTTTTTTATTTTATTTTTTTTACGTATTTAAATTTTTTTCCGATGATGTTTCATTTTTTGTTTGCAAAGATATATGGTCCTCTCGAAACATTTCGACATTTTGTTTGTTAACGATAGGAGATATGCACGTGTGTGCTTGACTTTATATGGTGTATGAATCTAATGTGTTTGATCAGATGGATGTGAACATGTACATAAGAAGTCAGTGGTTTCATTTGGTGACATGCTAATTTGTTTAGCTGCTTATTCAGGTGTGTGGTGTGTGTGTGTGTGTGTGTATTTGTGTGCGTGTATTTGTGTGTGTGTGTGTGTGTGTGTGTGTGTGTGTGGATTGTTAGAAATAATAAAATTTTTTAAAGTAACCAGAATGGCGAACGTATTTATTTTACAGTTTTGTGATTGTGTTTAGCTTATTTCGTAGATCTAATTCACGTCTAATCACATTTCAAATTTTTGTTTAGTTTAAGTTTTTGGTTTATAGGTACTATGTAAACACATGTCTAAAACTTTTGCTTAGTTGATTCATAGTGAGTAAATAGATTTCTCAATTTTTTCACTTTAACATGAAATTTTTTTAGTTCAGCCACCCGATTTTGTGATTTTGTAATTTGGGGTTAAGTTGTTCAAAAATTATATCATCTTACCGTCAGATAAATGACATCATTTTATCATCAGAAGAATGATATCATTTTATGATCAGATAAATGATATCATGCTACCATCAGAAAAATGATAACATATTATCATCAGAAGAATGATATCAAATTATCATCAGGAGAAAGATATCATATTATCAATAAAAAAATGATATCGTCTTATCGTCAGAAGAATGATATTATCTTATCACCAGAAAAATGATATCATCCTATCGTCAGAAGAAGGATATCATCTTATCGTCAGAAGAATGATATCATCTAATCATCAGAAAAATGATTTCATACTATCATCAAAAGAATGATATCACTTTATCATCAGCGTGGCGACTTACACACAACATAGTCGGCATCATCATCGTAATCATTATGATCTCATCATGACTATCTCTATCATCTGGTTATGAAAATAATAGCATAAAAACTGATGGAGCCATACAAATGCCAAAAAAATAAACTGAATAATAACGATCATCATCATGATGAAATTGTTTTTATCTCAATAATCATCCTATCTTCCTCATCGTCGTCCTCCTCACCATCATTCGCTTCGTTAAAGTCTCCCACGAGAAATTCAATCTATAATGTTGCTTGCTTGCAATGAGAGAACTTCAATTTACTTCTACTACCAATACTTGCTCCTACTACTACTTGATTCTACTACTACTTGCGTCTACCACAACTTGCGTCTACTACAACTTGCGTCTACTACAACTTGCGTCTACTACAACTTACTCCCGCTACTACTTTGTTATCGTCGTTTCTGATAATGACGATGTTACATTTGAATAGTTGCACTTCTTGTTTGAAGCTATTGTCGTTGTTGTCGTGGCTTCTATATCGATTTTGCTGGTAAACATTTATGTTGTTTGATAGTGTCATTGTTGTTGTAAAATATTTTTTACATGTGTTAAGCTGTTGTTTAGGATATTGCTATGTTGATATTGTTGCTTCAATTGTTGTTTTATCTGTTACTATAGAGCTGTTGTTATCGTTTTAGGATTTGAGTTGTTCGTGTTTTCTATTTTTCTCTTTCTTACTAAATAAAATTCTCATAAATCTTTATTTGAAATAATTTCCGTGCAATAATTAAACTTTTCTAATTTGAGTCTTAAATTCAAATTTCGAAACAATCAAAAATTTGCATGATTCATGGCTCAAAACGTTAGAAACATTTTACTAAATATGTTTTAGTGGAGTAATGTCGATATGTTTGTCCTTACAATTGCAGACAAATAATTTAATTGGATAATGGTCAGTTTTGCTGTACTTACGATGCATATTTAATGACGTAAATTATGAATAAAGGATTTTTAACAATGTACGGTTGACAGTAAAATAAAGATTGCAGCAATCAGTATGGACAATACATTGTGACAAATGAAAATGTCAGCTCCGCCCAAATGATTCCGACTATATGGATAACATATGGAGCAAACAATTTCTTTAGATCAATGAGAAACAACAAAATAGCAAACTCTCTCGAATTTCTATAAAATTTTAGATCAAATGAACAACGTACGATCATATTCTAGAAAAAAAACCCCACATCCAGCACTTAGGAACTTAAACAATTTGAAAATATTTCTATAATAGCGGCATACTGTATTATAAAATAACAACGAGCTATATGAGAATTGCTAAATTTTAAAATTTGCATGGTCAATATTTATAAATATTTTGTCAACTTTATCTTAGATTGGTTGATTGGCTGGTTGGTTGGTCGTAAAATCAGGTGCTATTATCTTTTTACATCTTTGGTAAGCCATCGCCTAACCTTAACGACATTATATTGTTACCAAACCACTTTTTTGCAATTTTTGAACGTAGATTGAATTTGAGAATGTCGGAAGAGGAAATCCGAAAGTTGGTGATGAGAAAAATATTCAAATCCGGCCAATCACCCATCCCTAGAGTTTTCATGACGTCATGAAACACGACGTTGAATTCAACCATTCAGAGAATCAAATGGTGTCGTAATAATGAGAGATTGCACATGCCAGGTGCATTTTGAGTGTCTGAAAAAATTAATTCTAGAAAATTATGATTTGCATTGTCTTTCGTGTTTATCCATTTAGGAAGTGAACTGCGGAAAATTTAATCGCAAAGGTGTTCAAAATGTTGAAGTTTACTAGAAGAAGTTTCAGTTATTTTAGTGCCGTAGAAGGAAGCTGCGTTGCCAATCTTTAAAACAAAGCATGGATAAGGCAGCTAGCTGATTGAAGAGAACAAGTTGGAATTCTTCACAAAATCTAGATTAAAAAATAATGATGATAAAGTCGACGATGATGATAGCGTTTGTAACGTGGCTACGATGATGATGACGACGATGATGATGACGACGATGATGATGGCGATGGTGGCGATGATGATAATTTAAATGACGTTCATTGAATAATGCATGACGTCAAAAAAATGTACAGACGAGCTATTACTTAATTTACGCAGATCATTATCATGACTATCACGCTATACGTCATCGTATAGCGAACATCATCATCATCATTCATCATCATTTTCACCACTCTCGCTTTCATTTCATTTTGTTTTATTCATATTATTTCCAAATAATCAATGTGAGTAATTCATCGTCGTTACTGATAGCATCAACATTAACGTCATTCCATCATCATTTTCATCATCATACCATCAATATTTTCATCATCATCTTCATTTTCAACAATATTTATGTCATCAACAACAGGGTCCACGTCATCTTCATCGTCATCATCATTTCCTGCATAGAAAACTCCCATGAGAAATTTAATCCATAATGCTGCTTGCTAGGAGAACTTCAATCTATTTTCAACTACTTTTGCTATTGCTGTTTTTGTCGGCGCTCTTATTAATAATATCTACTCATTTTATCATATTATTAATGTTAATTAATTATTTTATCCATATTCTTATCATTAAATTATTTATTACAATGTTGTATTTTTTACGAAATAATTAATATTTCCTTGTCTTGTCTTTGTTTCTTGTTTATGTAGTTCTTCGCTGCTCACACCGACGTTAATACTGTTCTTTATCTTACTCTTGCTTCTGAACGAATTGTTGATATTTTTATTTTCTGTGTTGTCATTTTTTTTGGAGTATGTTTTTTTTAGTGGGATTCCTGCTAAAAATATAATCATATGTAATCTCGTTATATATGTTTCAAACGCTTTCGTACTTTTAGGCGTTGCTACTGGGAGTTATCTGTTTTCATGTTATTCGAAATTAGTATGAATTTCTTTTTGTTTTTGTTCATATAATAAGTCTGAAAAAGATTTCTTAAAAAATAGTATATATAACGGGTAGAAATGAATGCAGTATTAGTAACTTTGGCAGCAGTATTACACTGATAACAGTAAATATAGTAGTATATTAGTGATAATAGTAGTCGTAAAAATGGTAGCAATGTGATAATTTGAATTGTAGTGGAGGTTGTTGTTGTTGTAGCGACTGCAAAGCCAGCCAGATCAGCAATACAATTACTGTTGATTCATTCTGTTGTTCTTCGTGCTTATGATGATTTATCGTCTGATGAATAGAGATAATAATTTTGCGACTTGCATAACAATCATAATAATGATGGTGAAGCTGTTGTCGATGATGATTATGATAATGGTGGTGGTGGTGGTGTTGAAGATGATGTCCGCATAGAAGCTGGTGGTGGCGGTAATGATACCTTTGATGACGAGATTGAGGATGATGAAGAAGATGAAGATGATGCAGATGATGAGGATGGTAAAGATGATAAAGATGATGGGGATGATGATGAGGAGGATGAAAATGAGGAAGAGGATGAAGAAGAAGAAAGAAAGGAAGATATTGCAGATGATTCTTATTGGCGTCCATTGAATAATATATGACGTCAGTGAGTGGGCAGACGTGCTCTTATTTACGATACGACCAAACAAACCAAACAATCTTTCCATGTGCAAAATGAAATAAGCTACAAGGGGGAAAAATATTTTGAAAGAATAGTTTCTGAAATAAGCGAAAAGACGTAGAATAAAATTTTGAAAAAAACTACAAAAAGAAAAAAAACATTTTTTGGCGAGGGTGAAGTAAAAGAAACAAAAAAGAAAAAAGGGCATAATTAAAACTATCTTTGGTCAGGAAAAATGTTGATTTATAAGGGCTGAGGTATGTTTCATTATCTTTTCTTCTTTTTTTATCATTTGTTATAATTATTATTAAAATCATCATCAATTTTAATTTAAATAAAATACTTAGTTCTACATTATATTTAGTAAATGTGAGTTTTTACTCTTATAAGTTGAATTGTTTGAGATATAAAAAAATGCCTTGTATTCATTTCAATAAAATTATTTTTTCTGTCATATATTTGTCTCTACAGCAGTAGAAAAGCTTTCATGTTGAAATCAAATAAACGTTAAAGTTATCCCTTCATTCGCTATTGAGACCACACGTTGTTTAATATATAAATTACTATTCAGAGATAAGAAGTAACGTGAGATACAAATCATGGAAGTTTTTCAGTATTCGAAAAAATTTGTTAAAAATTTGAAGCGAAACTTGGGGCGAAGGCAAAACTGTTTTTGTAAGGTTTTGGGCTTAAATTCGTTTAAAAGTCGCAAGATTTTTTTCGTTTTTGCTTTTTATGCATTCAAGCAGGCACTGGCAAGTAGACAAATGAAAGAACGAAAAAACAAATGAACAAACAAACAGACAGGAGAACAAACAGACAAGTGAACAAACAAACGAACAAACAAACCTCTTCCTGACAACAGCAAGAAAGACAAGCATTCCTAATCCAAATACAACGCCGACCAACATTCCAATGACCAGAGCTAACCAAGCCGTCTTTTCATGGTCTGATAATGATTAGCATGATGGTAATGATGAAGACGATGATGATTTTATTTATGATAATGACGATGGTGATGATGAGTTGAAATGAAAATGATAAAATATGATTAAAACGATGATTTGGATGATGTTTATGATGACGATAAAAGTAATGATGATGACGATGATAATAAACTCGGTGGTAATAACATAACAATGAAACAATAATGACGACCACGACGACGACGACGATGATGATGATGATATTTATGAAAATGATGATAATGTTGGTTAAAATAATGATGTTGATGATGATCACATTGCAAGGCAATAATGTCAAAAGGGATCAAGTTAATGAATGTAATGTCAATCAATTTAACATAAATCGAAACATTTTATTCGTTTAAATATTTCCAAGCTCGTACATCTTCGCTACATTGTTTCAGGCTCACTTTTCTGCTGAATAAATAAAATGAAATATAGAGGATTGTATTAATAATAAAAGAAAGTTGATAATAATAATATTTTATGTTAGGTCTGTTTATATTATCTATATATTTACAGGAGCGTTCGACCAACACATTTAATGCCCGATTCGTTTAAAACCGACTTTTAAAATTTGGTTACATTGTAAATTAAGCATTTATTAGATACAATTATTATAGTGGTAATAACGTTAATAAAGTATGTTTTCAAAAATTTAAAACACATATACGAGATGACATTGAGCGCACATCAAAAGCTGGAAATAATAAATGACCGAATGTTATAAATCTTTGCACTAAAAAAAGTGTAAGTGTAAGTGTGTATGTGCGTGTGTGCGCGTGTATATGTGTGTGTGTGTGTGTGTGTGTGTGTGTGGCTGTGGTTGTAACCAAACATAAACCTCTAGCAGTATCCACTTGAATGAATTATTATTACAAAAAACATTTCGTATATAATTTCTCGGATAAAAATCTTGGACAAAAAACCTCCAACCAAAACAAACACTTTTTTGCTGTGCGCAAGTTTCACAGGAAAAATATTATAGCCATGTGTTATGGGAAAGAACGTTAAACTTGGAATAGACAATTTTTTTATTAGTAAGGCATGGATGACATCAGCGAATTTTACCAAATGGGCAAATAAAGTTACAGTTTAACAATACAACATGGTTTTTCAAATTCTATTTATAAGAATATAAAACAATGCAGTGTACATTTACTATTAGAAATTCGCTGATGTGTGCATCTTGTGTACCACTTTTTGTTATTTGGTTGTAAATATGTTTTCTCCCCGCTTAAGACCCTCCCTTTAGAGACCTGATTTCCATGACATTTTCAAAGTCGTTAATAGGGAATACCATTGTATTATAATGCGTTAAAACTTGTTATAAAACCAGTTAAACATTAATCTAGTTGAATATTAAATTAATTTTCAAGTAACCATTGAAGTTTTTCTCTACATTGGGTAAATTTTTTTAGATGAAACGTTAACGTCCAAAATTGAAGCATGAAAAATAGCGAAATAACGAGGATAGAGTTGGAAAGAGGTCAAACGAAGGTCATTGGCGTCCATGGCAATAACAAATACGCAAATAAAATGGGCTCTCGAGCGAAAGTCATTATAGAAACCATCAAATTTTTATCATTATTTTATATCTTAAATTTTTTTTCTTCAATTTTTCCACGTCAAGAATTTGTGACATTTTTGTTATCCTTATCTGCTTCACTTGAGAAAATTTTGTAACGTCATCATTTTCACCATGGCTGCATCGTAATTGCTATTATTATCATTTTTTTATACTTTTTGTTATTTTCATTTTTTTTGGTTAACACTCATCATTCATTTTGTAACATTTTCAAATTTTAATCACTTCTAAATATCTTCACGAGATTCCAGGACTCAACTTTTTATTGGAGCGTCACTCCTTTACACCATTATTTATCATTTTTTCATTTCATCCTCATTCTTTAATTTCATCATCATTCTTTCATTTCATTATAATTTCTTCATTTAATCACTATTATTCACTCAGTCTCCATTGCCTTAGTCATTCATCCCATCATCTTTCTTCCATCCATCCGACTCAGGACCATCTAAAGTATTTTCAGCATCTTCTACGACACGTCTATTCAACCAATCAAACAATTTTCTAAATGGAAAACAATCAGTAGTGATATATCCGCATTGTTGAATTGTACTGCTACTAAGAGTTTATAAAATAAAAAATAAAGTGAATAAAAAAGTAAAACAAATAAAACACAAAAAAGAAGTAAATAAAATACAGAAAGTAATGTTAATAAAATAAAAATAACTATGTAGGAATAGGTGTAGGAATTTAGAGCAAATATTATATTTTAAATGACTAGAAGAAGATAATAAAATCAGTTTTGAATCTTTTAATGAATGTCGTAATTTTGGAACAATTTATGATTTTTAGAACTCTGCCATTGCAAATGATTACGATCATTTTGTTGCATCGCTGTACTCGAATAAAATATGTACTGTCTGAAGCGTGATCACCTGGTCATCGTCGTCATTGCTTATCATTTTTATCCTTTCAATTGGTCATCTTATTCATATTATTTATATTGACTTTATCTTTTTCATCAATCATATCATCGTCAGTCTTGTAACTGCAATGAAACCAACATCGTCATCATTGTCAGCATGAATCTGTCTTCATAACCATTGCGATACCTCTAATCCATCCTCATCATATTATCATTTTATTATTTACATTCTCACTTCACCATCATCATCGGTTTAATTTTTTCCTCATTATCATAAGAAGAAGCAACTTTTAGTTAGTTTATCATCTCGGTTAAGCAGTAAAGAACTGCCAGCATAACAAATGGCCAATGCTTTGGAGTGCTTGCTGTCCAGTTTTATGTTTTCCACAGCACCACTCAGTCACGCGCGCAAGCCTGCTACGTGCATGTGAACATTAAACACATGTTAACACAATCGCACGTTCACAAAATAACAATAAAACAAAGACGGTTCGTTGACTTTGAAATTCAAAGTTTGCTGATCGAAGGGTTGTAGCATGTGAGACTGGCTTGGGACTTGAATAGAAACATTTGGTGCTGCTTTTTCAATTTTATTTATTTATATTAAAAAAATTCAATGTTTATTAACAGGTTGCCAGAAGGACTTTTAAATATTATTGAAGTTTCATTCATTCATCAATTCGATTATTTAAACGGTTACATTTCAATTATTTTGCTACATCTTGCTAAAAAAACGACTTTTTACATTATCATTTTTTAAAATTCAATTTGAAATACTGAAAACAACGTCTGCGTTATTTTCATTCCATAAAAATTTGACATAAAATAATTTCTATAGAACCAATTAACCTGTCTGCAAGCAGTTTCAAGCCTCAATGGTATAGTGGTTTAATAGCAGTTATTTAGCGCTATTGAAACTAATGAGACATGCTTTGTTCGTGGAGATGCAATTTCACTCATCTCCTTCAAATTAATTAATGTGAATTAAATTCCATCATTTTTTAAGAAAACACTCGAAATAAAAAATTAAACAAAGATGAAATGATGTTTAGACCAAGGTTTAATTAACTGCTTTAGATGGTTATTAGAAAAACTTCGCAACGTTGTATTTTGTGAGTTTAAGAATCCAATAAACGAAATATTCATTTCATTTTTAAATCCATCAACTAAGGTACAAAAATGCGCATATGTGAAGATCAAATTTTTTTTCCCCGAATGTTTTATTGTCAATTTATAATTCATACAGCCTCACATAATTAAGTAGAGGCAGAGCTGCACAAACTCACACGATCGATCTAGGAGCGTGATGTTATGTATACAACAGCGAGCAAAGTGTAATTACACGAGTCTTATAAACATCAGGAACATTAGCGAATGTACTTAGAAACTGGCTGTAGATCTGCTACTGATGTTACCGACGATGATCATCGTGCAATTTTTCATTTTCCTTCTCCTCCTATTTCATTTTTTATTACATTTCCTTACTTTACCTTTTATTTCTCAACATTAATGTCTTTGTTTTCTTTGCAGAAGTTGTGTTTAGAAAGTCCGACAACATTATAATAATTTGCATTATCGTCATCAATTTTATCATTCTCTCATCTATGTATACTTTATTATTGCAATCATTATTACAAACATTCAACCATATTTTTTTTTGGTGTTCTAATTTTGTCAATTTTTCGATAATAATCAGTTAATAGACTATTATCATTAATATGTGGTTGACTTCATCAAATTAAAGAAAACAATTTTATTTACAATTATCATTTGCATTATTGATAATAAAATCATTCTTGCTTTCACTAAAACACAAACTGGTCAGTGAAATTTTTCACAGCTGCCATTTTGCACGACGTAATAGTTCAATAAGGATTCTATTTATTTTGATTTATCTCGAAAGATCACCTCAGTACTTATGGCTCCTTTAAATCATTCCACTCCAATATTTCTCCGGGCTAATATTTACAAACCTACCTATATAAATAACGTGTACGTAAGGCAACGATTTGTTGAAAATATGCATGCAAAATGTTGCAATTGTATTATAAATATGTAAAAACTGGAATAAATTCTCTATATTTAATTCAAAAAAATTAGTTTCAGCAATTGCTATTTATGTTTGGAGAAAAAAAAGGGTTCTTTTATACTCGCATCCAAGACATATAATTATAACTCCTCACTGGATAAAATTTCAAAAAATTTTCAGGATTTTTTCTAATGTTATTGATCTTTGCTTTTCCTCAAAACCAAATTGCGTTTTTATGCAATATCTTTTATTAAAACTTATTTATATCAAGTTTGTTTAAAGTAGGCCTAAAAACCAATTTTTTACTTGAGAGTTTCGGATTTACTTCTTTGTGTATCTTCTAAGAATAATTTTGAAAATTTGTAAAAAAAAACATTCTCCATGTTTCCTATATTTTAATATTGTTTGAATATTTTATTTTCAAAACAATTTTCCATAAAACAAAACGAATGTTTTGACACCAATCGTTTCTTCATACAAAATGCCTCCAATCTCATGTGTATTAACTGCGATATTTTTTCATTTTATAAATATCGATCGTATAAAAATAAATTTAAAAGAATGAATAAATAAGATGAATAATTGTGTAATGTTTTCCAGTGAATGTGTATTTGCAGCATACATCTCGTTAGTAAATACATTTTACATGGATAGTTGCATATTTCGACCACGCATCTCTAAATCATTTTAAAGTGTTTTAGTTTTCTGTGGAGTGTTATAAAGAAAACTGTAAACAAGACATGGATCTGTGAGACTACTTACTGATGATAATCATGAATTATGGCGATGGTGATGAACTGTGGCAATGACAATGAGTTATGAAGATGGTGATGAATTGTGAGAATGGTAATGAATTATGACGATGGTGATGAGTTGTTAAGATGGGGTGAATTATGAATTATGGACAGGGTGATGTTCAATTGTGAAATGTGATGATGATGACGGTGGTGAATTATTATAAATTGTGGCAGAGATGAAGATGATGAATTATTATAAATTGTGAATGTGTTGTGATAATGGTGATTATGACAGAAATAAGTTGATATGATGATGATGATGAATGATAATAACTTTTAACTGATATAACACAAAATAATGAGCATTTTAAATGGTAATAACGGTAATAACAAATAGTAAAAAGATATGATTATGACAATATCAACCAACATCAGCTCCGTTGAATATGGTGCTTTTTAATATGGTATACACAAAACCTAATCACGTAAATGACTTTGAATTTCTCAAGTTATAAAATGATCATGATGGAAATGATTAATGATTTAATGGTGAAAACGGCTATTAAAAATTCAGAAACCTTTAAAGTAGTCGAAGATTTTTGAGATGTAAACAGTCTGCTGATTCTGCAGCTTGGTTGGTTCTGTCAATGGGGAAAAATGAAAAAAAAGATAATAATTTTTCAGCATTATTTGAAAATTTATTTAAAAATTTATTTAAAATTATTTACATTATATAATTTTACAAATATCAATGAAATGATAATTATTTCAATTATTGTTATCATTATTTTAACCGTCACTTCATTTTAGCCACCATCGTCATATCATATTCATCGTAATTGTCATCACCGTCATCATTATCTTAAATACAAAGAGTTGCTTGCGGGCATACTACGGTAGGTTTAATCTCTTAAAGAAAACGCGTTTGGATTTGCGTATACGCTTGGATGTTGTCATGCTTGTCTGTCTGACCTGTCTAAATACTGCTACATATCTAAGTAGTTTTGGATACATATACGTACATACACACACACACACATACACACATATACACATACATACACACTTACATACATACATACAACTGCTGTCTATGCATTTAGTTTCAGTTTGATGCGAACGTATGCATAATGAATGGCGCCAAATTGAATGAGCGTTTGCACGACCAATTCTGATCTGCATCATGCCAAACGATAATGAATGGGTGGATGAATGGATGAGTGGATGAATTGAAGAATGCATAGATGAATAGATTAATGGACGAGTGGATGAATAGATGAATGGATGGAGATGGATATTATGATATAACTGGAATTAAATGCTATTTCAGACATTTATAACGCATGTGAATATATTAGTGCTTTAGAACGACTACATTTCAGTATTTTTCCATAGAATTCATCATAACCAAAAACCAAATTTTGAAATTCACATCAGATATAATGATATATTAAAAATATCAACATTTTTTCACACCTACAAAAATATCTACGTTATTATGTACATGTATATATATAAGTACCCCGTGTTTTATGATACTCTGAGCGTAACTGAGGACATTCAGCAGATGTAAACCTATGCAAACACTTGTCAGGCAGGTAACCCAGACTGAGACTACTCATACACTTGAAGCATAAACATTTCTACATTGAACCTAAAATTGTTTAGATTTTTTAAATCTCGTATCTTAATGTTTGTATTTAAATCCTTATTGCAAGAAAAATTCACATGTTCAAAACAGCTATGAAATAAAAAATTTTATAAATCGAATTGCTCATTAAAACTTTGAAAATATTTGTATGTGTTTGTGTGTGTGCATATTTTTGTCAAAATGGATATTCGACCAGTGCATTTAATAATTGATTAAATTAAATTTTTATATTGGAGATTGGGAAAAACAAATCACATAGCATACAAATTTCTGAACGCACGAACGAACTAAGAATGGTTTCTGAAGTTGCACGAAACAATGGTTTGTTTATAATTTGCCTAATTTAGGTGTTACTCTCAAAAACATAAATTTTAATTCAACATTTTCAAGATTAAAAACTTGAATGAAAAAAAAGATATTTATCTTTTTTAAATATTTATGGCCGCTTACATTGCCAACCATAACATTAACTTTAAACTTATACAGATAATACGCAAACAAAAATAATATAGCCGTTGCTCAAAAATTCGATAAATTATGGCGCAAGTAAGTTTTTCACAGATACTAGTGATGTTTTTACTCTAGAGTATACTAAAACAACAACTATACTACTATCACTAATAACGTTACCACTACTTCTGGTGCTATTTCTACCAGCAGTACTACAGCTTTTAACGCTACTACAATCACATAAACTAATGCAGCTGCTGCTTTTACTTCAAAAACGTTCACTAACGTAAAAACCCTGCAAACATTTTGGACGCGTGTAATCAAATAACACTAAAACAATATAAATAACCAACACAGCCATTAATAATAATAATAATAATAAATAATAATAATAATTTTAGTTTAAGTTCCAACAACAATTATGGCAATGATATTAACAATATAGGAATACTTACGAAATAATTACAGAGGATTGATAATAATAACATAAGAAGTAGAAGGAATACCACTTTAAAGAAGCAAAAGAGCCCGAAGCCATAACGCTGCTTATTTAATATTGTACGACAGAAGTTATTCATAATTCAACATCACTGGCTGTGACCAACACATGCTCCTTATTTCAAATAGCAAACATTACGCTAATTCGCTGGGCTTACGTATCCTATGGATAGATTTTTTGAAAGTACGACCATATTTTTTATCGGCTATATTTTTTATTTTCAGACGGGAAACATTTCTGTTTTGAGTTAAGCTTCAGAAGTTTTTGTCCGTTTTTGTTTGTATTTTTTTTGCAATTTTTTTATTTTAAATATAACATGGGTTTTTTTTCATTTTATCTGATATTTCTCTTTAAAATACACTTCTTGTTGTTTTTCGAATGAGTAAAACTGTGAGTATGTTCTCTTGTGGAAATAAGGGTGAATGTGTGTGTGTGTATGTGTTGTGTATGTGAAATTTTGTGTTTGTGTGCGCGTGAATGGGCTTGAATGCAGTTGAGTGAGATTAAAGTTAAACATCATAACGCGGCAGCAAAATAATGAATCAAAATGAATGTGAGCCAATTGTTTTCAAGCTCTAAATCACAATTTTATCTTTTGCTGTTAAAAACACTTTAGCCAGTTAGAAAAAAATTATTGAAATAATATTCAAAAAACTTTTGAAAAAGTTTATGAATGTAAATTGTCGTAGATCAAATGAAAGAACAAAAATTTTGCCACTTAAGCGTAATTGTCAGCCATTACTTTTTATGATTGTCTCTATCATTTGTGCTACCCCGGTTTTTAAAAGCTGGATTTTGTTTCAATTGCTAACCTTGCTTTTTTTAGTTTTATATTTTTTGTTAAAAATATAACATTTATTCAACTCTTTATAATTTACTCAATTATATATAACTAACTAATTATATGTCGGCTATACATACGAAATTGAGTATCGGGTTTGGTAACGGTAAAACATTTTAAAGCTGGTATTGAAGCCAGTTTAGGCAATGTAAGAATTGAGCATTGGTTACAATCCTGATTATAATTAACATTTTTCAGTTACAAAATATAATTTTATTTTAATAGGTGTAGACTTTTAATGCCGATGGATTTGAAAAGAAAGAAAGAGAGAGAGAGAGAGAGAGAGAGAGAGAAAGAAAGAAAAGAATGCAAAAAGGAGTGTGAACAAGAATGAAAGACAGAGTAGGATAAAGAGTTCCAAGCAATATTGTATAATTTTTTGTGACTGTTTCAATAAAAACGAATCTTATTTATTTAAAGTACACAGCAATTACAATTTAAATTTAAACATAATTTCTAGAAATATTAGTGATGAAATAAAAAACGACCCACTTTCAAGGACTCTGATTGGTTCGACGCACCTCATCCAAGGTGGTGACGTAATGTCCAGGTTGGAATGTAGGTCATTGCTATTTATAGAAATCCATTTGTTGGTTGCGAGGTCGCACTTGTAGTACCAAGTGGTCTCTACGAAGTTGGAAGTGAAGTTGCAGCTGACCTGAAGATAGTAGGTGTCGTAGCGAGAGATGCGAATGTGTTTGGAGGGGGCGCTGACGTCGGGGCAGCCATGAACTAGAATGAATTTATTGTTTAATTTTTATCATCGCCATCACCATCTCCATCGAGGTCATCATCTTTTTTCATCTTTTTTAATCTTCATTTTTCAGTACATATCATTTCATTCATATTAATAATTTTTTGTTCTATGAAAGCAGCAAGACTAGCAAGCAAAGCAGCACTAAAACGCTTCAATGAGACTTAGGATTATAGAAATTTGAATTTAAATGAAAAAGTTTCTGAATGGAAAAGCTAATAAAAAAATTTGACGATGGTGAAAAGAGTGGAAATCAAATTAAATCAAATCAAAATTACAGCCACAACAACAACTACTACTACTACTGCTGCTACTACTACTACTAACACTACTACGACTACTACAACAACTACTACTACCTCTACTATATACTACTTCTATTGCTTTCTATACCATAATCATAATAAAGCAAATTCATTGTAGACTCATTTCGCACAAATTTTCTACTTGTCTGCTACTAAAACAAATACTACCACCAGCAGAGCTAATAATAAAATCGTTATTAGGAAAGAATAATAAAAATAATAAAAATGGAACATATGGAAAAAATCAAAAAAATACATGACGAAAGAGTTATTCATAATGAAAGCATAAAGAAGGCAGAGGACATTGCGCAATCTTGTGAAACACGGGCATATATTAATACTTTTTTTAATATCCCATCTCCTTCTTTTCCGCGTTTTGTTTTACATTTTTTTCAAAAAAAACTACCATTCCCTATCTCTATATGATATATTTTCAAATAATTTTGAAAATGTTTTTATAAATATAACAACTTTTAATCATAAAACTAGATGTGATTTCAAACTTAAGAGGAGTTTTTTTTTACTTATTAATTTTTCTAATACATCGAGAGGAAAAGTTTTTATAATCAAATCCTACGAATAATTTGCCTATTAAATACAGATTGAAAAATTAACCAAATCACAAGAAAATGAAAAAATTAAGAAGATCGCTAGGTATGTCTTCTTTCAAATGGTGACATCATTTTTCCGATACATTAGGCTTTCCGTGAATTTAGCTGCGGGGCGAATGATAACGATGAGAACAAATAGCAGTAGCTCTAACATAACGCCGGCCATCATTATTTATAACGCTGCAAACTTGCAGATGATTTTAATCATCAGGCGACATAAAAATATTTTGTAATGGTAATTTTTTTAATTAATTAATATCATTGTTTTTTTCTTATTTTTATTTAATATTTTTAAGAGTTGTGAAGAAATTTTGACGAATAAATTATACAAATTAGTGAAATGTTAAAAATGTTATAATGTCTGATAATAAAATACATTCTAAAAAAAAAATCAAGCAAAAATTATTAACCAAAAATTGAAAAGAATATAATTTTTGGGAAATTAATAATTATTTCTGATTTGGTTCCAACTTTGAGGACATAACAATATTTCAACACCTGTTCTCTCTTTCTCTCTTTCTCTCTCTCTTTCTCTCTCTCTTTCTCTCTCTTTCTCACTTAATCTCTTCTGTTATTTTCTTTCTTTCTAATTTTCTGACTTTCTTTTCTATATCTTTTTAACGTCAGCCTACGAATGTCTCGCACTTTTTTCACTTTCATCCTTTGTTTATCACTTATTTTATCTTTGATGATCGCAATTGCAGACACGCATTCGCAATGACACGTGAGCAAATGTATAATGTACGTATGCGCTTCTTACATAAATCTCTCAAACATGCATAATTTATTAAATAACAGGCATATTTCTAAATGATTATGTGTATTTTTGTTAGTATGTGTTATTATTTCATAGTTATTTTTTATATGTTTGTTAAATATTTATTGCCTTTATTTTCCATATTTTTTTATATTAATAATATTGTGTTTTTTATTGCGATTGTATGTGTGTGTGTAACTGTGTATAAGTATGTGTGCGTCGTGTATATGTGTGTAGATGTTTGTTTGTGTGCGTGCATGTGCCTGATTGGATGTGTCCATTATTGAAAATAATTTTTGTTAAAGAAAATCTTGGTTCCAGAATTTCTTCTAACATCAAACTTTTTACCTCACATTCCAGATTTCAAACGACAAAAATTTAATGATTGAGAACAAAAACAGCTGCCAACTGGTACTGAGCAAATAGAATCTGTTTTTATAGAAAATAAAATTTTCAATTAAATATTACGATATTATATCATAGCGATGTATAATCATCATCATATTACATTATAATAATGTTGAATCATCATCATATTTTATCATCATCCTTATATTAACATCAACAAGTAAAAATAAAATTTCACAAAGATTTATATCTATACTGTGGCTACTATAGCAGCTCAAGCTCCAAAAATATATATTGTGACTTTCTAATTTTCTGATTTTCTTTTCTATATTTTATAAGTGAGCATCAGCATAATAATGAACATAAAAAACAGGATATAGTTAAATGTAGTAACAGTTGTAAAGGGTAGTATCATAGAAATAGTGGAAATAAAATAGAGTACTATGAAACAGTATCAGCTAGAGTAGTGATAGTGCAGAATGCATCACTAAAAGAACTGACAGAAGTAAATATAGTATCATTTAGAAGCAGTAGAAGCAGCTGTCACGGCGATGGTAGTATCAGCTGTTTTTGAACATGTGACAAACAACCCACTATAAATCTTCAAACCATTATCCGCTTGCAGACATTTTATCGATTTCATCCTGCTGTGATGATGAAGATGATGATGAAGATGGTGATGATGAAGATGATGATGCTGAAGATGATGATGCTGAAGGTGATGATGAAGGTGATGATGAGAAAGATCAAGATGATAAAGATCAAGATGATGGCGAAGGTAATGATGATTGTCATGAATTTGATGATGATGAAAAACACTATGATGTTAATGTTGTTTACTGTGATAATTATAGTTATTATGCAAATGATAATGCTTATTACGATGATGATAAGTTTGGTGATAACGTTATCACGATGGTAAAAATGACTAGAACAATGTAAAGAACGACTATTAAAAAACTACGACGGCTCGGCAATAATTGTAGTGAAGCAATAAAAAAATTAGCAATGTTGATTATGATGATAAAATTTATGACGGTGACGATGGTGAAAGTTTCAGAGGAAATGATGTTTGTTTGTAGTGTGATGATGAAAGCAAGATGATAACACTGTCATCATTAATGAATGCAGCCAATGAAATCAATATCAACAGCAATGTCAACAACAATAGGAGTAGAAAACCAAAGATGATGATGATGAGGAGGAGGATGAAAAAAAAGGAAGATGTTGTTGTGATTATGATGACGAAGATGATGGTGGTGATGACGACGACGATGAAGATGTTAATGAAGTTGGTTGCACACGATGAGGATGATGTTGATGATGATGATGATGATGCACAAATGTTAGTAGAGTTTTTCAGTGATTAAGGTTAATCCAACTTGATGGAGACAATAGATTTCCCAAATTGTGGGGCTCTGATGTGGTTTCAAGGCCTATTTAATTTGTTGCAAATGAAAATTTGTTCACACAATTTTATTACCTTTTTTTTAATTCGTTCACATACTTATCGGTTTTTTTTTCATCGAAAATAACAAAGAATTATAACAATCTGTAAAATTTTTGAAGCCTCAATTCTGCAGATACATTCAACAAATTTAAACACCAGACACGCCTGTCATTATTGTCATCAGCTGTTTAATTAATTAGACTTGTGTTTGCATCCAATAGGAAGGCTAACTATGCTATATGAAAGGATTTACCATTGCTGCAAGCTATTCATTTTTTGTAATTTATATAATAACAATTGTTTGTTCATCACATATCCAAATATCATGTAATAGTATTATCATCGTTAAATTTGTGGTACCGGGCTTGCGTTACGTTATCTGGATTATTGATTTCAACTTAAAAATTTCTGGACAAGGAATGGAATGAATGAATGATTTGAAATTTTCAAGTCGATCGTACTTTTTGAAGATGTCTTTTCAATGTCTCGTTCCAATTTTTTATGTCCTTGTTTGTGTACCATTTTTGTTTATAAATGTTTAATATGCAAGATAGGCTCCGTACATATATGCATTTGCTGCAAAGAACGCCAATGTATGCAAATAAGTTGATTTGCGCGCGCATGTATATATATATATATATATATATATATAAATATATATATATATATATATATATATATATATAAACGTTGTAAACTCCTGGGAGTTACCATAGATATAATTAAACTGTTGTGTTATTATTCGCTGGCTAACTTGCGTAAACAGAATGTGTGCAGTACAAATGCGTGCTGTAGCTACGTATATTTATGCACACGTGTGAATGCAATTTGCGTTGAAGATAATGTTTTATTGCGGCTGCCCATGTTTATGTTGGTTATTACGAGAGTGATTAGTGGAAAGTTGTCGCCGTATTTTGTATTTGTACCGTTGTCCTTGTCATATTTGTGGTTGTTGTAGTTGCTGTCGTTGCGGTCGATGTTGCTGTTTCGGCGATTGTTGCTGTGGTTGCTGCTGTGGGTTTTTTTGGTTTTGATTTCAACAGTGGCGACGCAAAATGAGAATAAAAATTTACAAAATGAATTTAAATTTTACTAATTTCAGGTCTAAGATTCAATACTTTAACTCCAAAAAAATTAAAAAAATATCTTACTCTGCTAATTTGCTCAACAACTGAAAATTTATTGTGAGCGTACATATATGCATGATAATAAATAATAAGCTTCACAGCGCCTTCATTGTTGCAATTTTTCCAAGGAGCGTGTCTCGTTATGATAAATTAACGCCTGTCTCCTGATGAAATATTAACGCCTGAGACAACCATGTTCGGTGAAACCATTTATATTTGGTAAAATTTTATGAATTAAATATAAATAAATAAATTAAAATTCATTTTAATATAAACCAAATTTTTTTTATTTAGCAAATTTTGTGAGTAAAGTCACACCACTCTTTCCGTATGTTACCGAATTATTAATGAACCTATCGACAGTACTTTAAACTTGAGCAGTTAACTTATTTGAAAAAAATATAGAACTTTTGAAAAATATTTATTTAATTTATGTTACAAATAGACTGATTTCAATTTAACTTAGATACATGGGCATAATTAAAAAACGAGAAATGTTGTACAGACAGAGTAAAAAAAACATATAACTCTACTAAACTGAAAGCACGTTTCTCCAATTTAAAACAAAAAAAACATATTATTTTTCTCAGATAAAAAATGTCTGTTCCAAACCAATAGTATAGTAGTCGATAAGAAATATTATTATTATTATAAGTAAAAAAAAAACAAAAAATGTATCAACCGTACAGAGAAATAAAAAAACACAAAAAAAACACAAACACAACAACGACAGCAACATGACCGAACACTAATTAATTTTTATTAATATCTGTTGTATGTATTTTTATCAACATCAACATCATTACGTATGCATTTAACCGAACGTACTATTGATATTAATCACTTATGAACGCTTTTTGCTTTCCCCTCTCCTCTGGCTCTGTTTGTTGCGTGTTGTTTGCTTTAGTTGTGGTAGTAGTAGCAGAAGCGGCAACAGTAATAGTAGTATAAGTAGTATTAGTAATAGTAGTGGTATAACGGTAGTTGGGATAGTAGTAGTAGCAGTTATAGTAGTTGTAGTAGTAGTAGGAGTAGTAGTAGTAGGAGTAGTAGGGGTAGTAGTTGTAGTGGTAGTAGTAATAAAAGTAGTAGTAGTAGTGGTGGTTGTGGTAGCAGTAGCAGTAATATTAGTGGTAGTAGGTTGGTAGAAGTAGTAGATATAACAGTAGTAGTAGCAGTAGTAGTAGCAGTAATAGTAGTAGTGGTGGTGGTTGAAGCGGTTTCTAATGTTGTTTATTATACTGCAGATGATGCTGTTATTGATGTCTAGGTTAAGGGTGTTGCTGTGATTAATGTTGTGGTTGTTGTTGTTGTTGGTAGTGGTGGTGTTGTTGTTGATTTTGTCGTTGTGATTGTAATATTGTTGTTCTTTTTTTCATAGTTGTGTTGTTGTTTTTTTTTTTGAAAAGCTATTTTGGTTATTGTCTTGCTTTTTACGCTTTCTTCTAGAATCATCTTTTTGAGATCATCATATATAAGTCTGCTGTCTTTTATTAAAATTTGTTTTATTTATTTAACTTAATAAGTCTATTTATTGTTCAATTAAATTGCAATTTTTATTTAATTTGTGATTATCCCTACAAATATTTTTCAGATCATAGCAATGAGAACTCTTTTTTTATACACTACCATTGACACATAGCTTGTCTGACTTTTTTCAACATTTCAACGCAAGAATCCTTTTTTTTGTAATTTTGCATGTAAGCTAATTTTGAATAAAAAAAAAGCTAAACAATGAATTTCTTTCAACTGATATAATCTCGCAACTAGTTGAGCTGCTACGACGTGTTAAGGCTGACCTACGGCGACTTTAAATGCAGCTAACAATGTATTTATACACGCAGATTGTTTTGTAATGTGATTCCACGTAATGGCGATGTATGTTTGTTGCTGCAATTAACTGTCTGCAGTTGCATCATTCGTTACTTCTGGGATGATGGTATGGTTCAAAAATTGCTTTTCGGTGTTGTTGCTAGCGTTGTTGTTATAGTTTTTGTTTATGTTTTAAAAGGTTCATTTATGTTTATCGTTGAAATCAGTTTTTACAGTTAAATTTTGTCTTATTTTTGACACGTTTCAGTTTTGAATGAGGATTGTTACTTTGTTCGTAAGATGCATTTTTTATTGACGAATAATAACCTTTTTCTTCATTCACATGATACTTGTTTGTTGTCGCTTGTTTATGGTTGTCAAGCCTTCCCACGTGTGGTGTGATGCTGATGGTATCTGTTTAGTTTTTAAAAGAATTTTGTTGTTCGTTGTTAGTTTACGTTTTTACTTCGATGGCATTTATCCACAGTTAAATGTTGTTTATTGTTGTTGTTAATAATATTAGAGGCAATAATTTAATTTCATTTGCAATCTGCTGCCCTCTGATTAGATTGTTTATAGTGCGTGGTTGCTCAGGTGCACAGAAGTTGTATGTTAACGTTGGCTGCAGTTCTGCAACTTCGAAGCCACCGACGCGACAAACGTCACGTTACATTAAAGGTCGAAGGTTGTATTTTCAGCGTTGGATAAAACAGTTTTTTTGAAAAAAAAGGAAGAGGAACACTTTCTATCGATTTTGAAATTTCTTGGCAAAATGTCCAATAATTTTTTATGGCCACGAGAGGATTGATGATTAGAGAATATCTAAACGTCATCTATGTTAATTTTTCATGAAAAAGTTTCATAAAAAAATTTTATATATTCATTTTTATTAATTTTTTTCCTTTTTTTAATTATAAAACAGGTCAAAGAAATGGATTCAAATAATAATGCTACTGCTAGTGATGAAAACGTAACGATGCGAACTTCTCCCACGAATCAGTTGTTGTTTTGGAGGAAAAATTATTACCATTGATAAATGAACTGAAAAAATAATTAGTGCACCGACGTCATAACGCAAAGGAAATGTAAATGATGTCATGCAACAAATACGTTACATATGATTTTATACTGTACATGAGGCAAATTAAATCTTAATGTACAGATGGAATACGTACCAAAAACATTTACACACATAGACACACACGCACAAACACACACACAAACACACACACACACACACATCAACACACACACCACCACGCACAGCTGAAACTAAAGCACTCATTAAATACATCCATCTAAATACATGAACGAACCCAATTACATTTCACTGCACTGCTTTCAGCTCTAAACGGTTCACATAAACAAGCAAACATATGTGACTGAACGAACACATGTGCGAACACCGAACATTTGTATACAGACGCAAAGAACACGTTGGTAAATCTGGAGAGATTGGTCGGGACTGCATTCCTCTTCTTGATTTAACATGCTCTAAAAAAACGGTTAGATAATCTTATATTTCATTTTAAATTTTTATTTTGCAGAAATTTTATAAATTCTTTTACCTCTTATTTTGAAGAATTGTAAAAATTTTATTATTTACTGACAGCTGAACTGCTTCAACTTGCTGTCCACATGTAAGAATGTATGTACCTAATTGCTCCCAACAGAATGAATATCCGCAAAATGAAACACGAAATTTGAGAAATAATATGGTAAACATTTTAAACAACTTCTTTAAAACAAATGAAATGCCACAAATGTCAACCAGTCAAAAGCAGAAAGTTATATTAACAAAAATTTTTGAAAGATAAATTTAAATGAAAAGTATGAAAACAGTCAAATGATGTGAGCTCAACAAAACAAACTGTAAGTACATACACAAACATTTAGCACACCTCCATAAAAACACAAAAACATAGGGCACAAACACGTATGTACGTATGAATAAACAGATATTCACACCCACACAAACATATAAACATGCACACGCACACCACACATGCTCACCTACAAACATCCATGCAAACACGCGCGTGAGGGTAGCGACTGCAGAGAAATAATATATTCTGAACGGTAATAAAACAAGCGGTAACATTTCGTACGTGAGACTGAAATGTGGCTTATTTATTAAATCATATTTCCATATGCGATATATCTGCATGTTTGTGTGTTTGTATGCATGTATGTATTTATATTGGTGCAAGTAGTTAGTTAGTTCCTGTGAAACTTGATAACCTAAAATAAGTGGCAAAAATTGAAAAGTTATATTTCATGTTTGTTTGTTTGTAGCGTTGTACATCAACATGTTTGTACGACTTTAATAACGTTTCTGTTTGGAGTGTTGAGTAAAAAATCCAGTTTTGAAAATTTTTTCCAAGCCAACAATTTCATACTCGTACTCGACTGAAGGAACAAACTTAATGGCGCCATTCATGTAATTGTTGGTGGGTGTCGTTATCGTGGAATATAACGTGCACTTGGAACGATTTATCTGTATGGAGTTCATAAGCATTGAATTGAGCAGAGTCGTATGTTACTTATCTTTAATGACAGGAAAATTTCCATTGTAGACTAAATTTAGTTCATCATGATGAACATCGCTGCGACTAAACATCTCAATTTTTTCATAAACTACCAAATAGTGATAAGTCATTTACGCAATTTATTTTGTTATAACTGTGTGTTAATAATTGTTAAGTGTCAAAAGATTTAATATTCGATAAGTCAGCAGGTGACGACAAATTCTCAGCTGCATATTTCTAACATTACTCACTCACGTCACATCCATCGCCAGGCAATAACCTCGCCGACACGAACATGAATATAATACCAGCTTATAAGCGTACAGACGTATGTACCACTTACGAAGGCGCGAAAATGGTATTCATCATGATCAGGCATAATAGTGCAGCAGTACGTATGAAAACAAAAAAATCATATTCATCATGCTCGCATTCAAATGCTCATGTGAATACGATTCAATTGTGAGTTTGTGAGTGTTCTTCCTGTGTCGTTCTGTCAGAACGATTTTTCATTTTTATTTCGTTTTTGATCTTTCGAATTTTAAAAGTATTTTTTAAATTTGTATATTCTTGAACTTGAATTGCATATTGTATATTTGTTATGATTGAAACATTTTGAAGATTTTAACGTTCTTTTATTTCTCCATCCCGCTTTCTAACAACGAACAACTTTAAGCTTTTCTCAATCGTTTACAAAATTACAGAAGATAATGAGTATCATTAAAACCAAATGTCATCTTGCACTCCCTGCTTCTTGTCGTGTTAGGATGAAAAATAAATAAATGAATTTTCATTAAGAAAAACAATATTGCAGCAGCTTATCTTTATAGAACATTAAATAATTTTCTAAATAGTTTTAACTTATAAGCTAGGGCTTCGTGATAGCATAGTGGCTAAGGTCGACTGGTGCTGTTTTGCAGTGGCCGAGTTCGAATACGACAAGAAGATCCACACCGATCACATTCTTTGTGTGCGATGACTCGTTTAACACGAATTCATGTACGCTGCTAGAGCAAGGATATTAGGATAGTTAATTGGAGGTGGTTATCACATAAATGCTAGTCTACTAAGAACACTTTAATCCCTGTTATGCTGTGTTTTGTTATGTTATGCTGTTATGTTATGTTATGCTATGTTATGCTATATTATGGGTGGGTGGATACATCTCGGAACCACCCTCTAGGCCCGCCACCGCCATCAAACCGATGTTTACGTTGAGATTATCATGTCGCGTTTCACATAATACATGACTATCTTACAGTAAATCACCATGTATATATTTATACAAAAATCCTTAATTTGTTACGAATCGATACTAAAATATTTTTGAATGAAAAAAAGTAATTTCAATGAATTAAATGTAAAAAAATTGTGCTGTTCTTTTCCTTTTTACAAAGTTTTGATAAAATCCCAGTGCAAATTACTTCAGTGAAAGATTTGTAAGATTTTAAATGTTAATTTTTTCAAGAATAGGTTTATGACTGAAATGCTAATTCTCTTTTATCTCACAATAAAAATTTCGTTTCAAATGTTTTTATAAGGTTTCGCACTTAAAATAGAAGAAAATTTTTTGACGATCATTAAAATTTAAAAAAAAATATTAGAACCTCGAAGCGACGAAAATCAAGGAAAAATAATCCTCTTTTATTTGTCCGTTGGGATTAAATTTTTCTAAAAATTTTTAAAAAGCGACAAATATTTCTTTCTATTTTATCACAATTCATTAGTGCTTATATTCAATAATGATTAGGACAATTTACACAAAACACTTTGCAGCCAATCAGCAGCTTTCAAATATGATATGACTCGTTATTTTGAAAAATTAAATGAATAAATATTTAATTAAAATTTAGGACTATAATGTAATTCGTAATTTACAATAAAAAGTTAAAATAAGACACCGCACCAGCTACGATATAGTAAGGAAGGATAAAACAAGAGTTGTGCAATTTGGTCTGTAACTTAACGATACAGCAGAGTATTGTGAAAGGTACAATATAACAAGGTAGCCAGCGATGTAACGAGGTAGCCTGCGATATAACGAAGTAGCCTGCGATTTAACAAGGTAGTCTGTGACATACAGAGGTAATTTGAGATATAACGCGATATAACGAAGTAGTCTACGATATAACGAGGTAGTGTGCGATATAATGCCTGTCATGCAATCGCTTGTCTTCGTAAACGTGATGGAATGGAGCACGTGATTGTCCGATATTTCTTTTCATTCATTCCTTTTGTATCATTCCCTCGTACATTTCTTAATCCTTTCACGGAACTTTTTTGTGTCTATTCTCTACATTTTTGTCTGAATATCATCTAATTATTATGTTTGTTTTTTTTCTTAGAAGCAAATAAATATATCTAATCGTTCTGCAGAAACGTGCAATGTAAAAATAAAGTAATGTAAAGATTATATTGTCAATGGGTTATTAGTTTTTAAATTAAGCATCTTTTAAATGCTGTGCCACACTGCGAAACATTTGAAAAAAAAATACTTATAAGCTGCCAGCAAATTAAATGCCAGTAAAATTATCAGGTATGTTCCTTAATGAATATAAAAAATTAATAAAAAAAAATGAATACAAATTATAAATAATATTTTGGAACAATTTAAACCAATAAAGAAATTTTTTACATAATGACATTATATGTTGAAAAAATAATTACCGATTTTAATTGCCATTAAATTATTTAATTGATCGTTTAAAACGTACGTATATATGTATGTATGTATGTATGTATGTATGTATGTATGTATGTATGTATGTATGTACGTTTTGTTTCGTATGTATGTAGACAGGTATGTATGTATGCGTGAATGTATGTTTATATGGTTTTATATGTGTGGTGTGTGAGCGCGTGATGTTTGTGAACGTACATACAAACAGCACACACACACACACACACACACACACACACACACACACACACACACACACACAAGCACAGGTTATGTCAAAGGAAAATGTATAAACATATCTTCATAAATAGTGCAAAATTTAGGGTGTTTCGAATGAATGCAACTTCATGGATGTGTCAGCAATAACTCTTGTCGTTGTCATTGTCATTTTTATCATCATCGCCATCATCACCACCATCACCATCATCTTCATCATCACCATCGCCATCATCACCATTATCATCTTCATCATCATCTTCTTCTTCATCATCGCCATCCATCACCATCATGACCTTCTTCTTCTCCTTCTTCACAGTCATCTTTTTCTTCATAGTCATCCTCATCATTAGCGTCGTCACCATCATCACCAGCAGCATTCAACATCATCATTAGATTTGCTGTCAGAGAAATTGATAGGGGCAGGAGCATGAGTAGCAGTGGTTTCATTTCTCATTTGATGTATCAATTTGTGCACAAATTCATAATAATAACAATGAAAAATTCGAAATAATAAAAAATATTAATCACATTAAAATAATATTATAATAATAAATGGTAATTGTGGTACAAAACGACCAACACATGTTGAAACAACGGTACAGCGTTTTCGTCAAAAAAAAATTGGTGATAAAAAAGTTATTTTAAACCATCTGCTAATTAATCATTAGTGAATCATTCATTTCTATCAAAGACTATCAAAATTTAAATAACTGATACACATCGATACACATACAAACATTGTCAACAACAATTCAACACAGCAAAATAAACAACAACAACAACAGCACCACCACCGCCAACAACAACAGCAACAACAACAACAGCAACAACAACAACAAAAACAACAACATCAACAACACAACAATATAAACAACATTGTCGACAACAACAGCAACAACATAAACAACGAAAACATGAAGACGACAATAGACACGAAGTCCAACTCATCATCATTAACATCAGCGTTGTCTGCCTCGTTCATTCAGCCAGTAACATCATCATCATTCTCATCATCATCATTCTCATCATCATCATTCTCCTCCTCATCATCTTCATCAACGTCATCATCATCATCCTCGTCGTAATGAAAAATCAA